TTGTATTTATTAATTTATTATAATTAATTATCCAAGTATAGCAAACCATACATAAAAAAACAATCTCTGGGTGCCATTTTATAAAAATAATGTTTCAGCTTAGGTTATACTTATATTTTCTCGTGACTTTCAGTATCTTTTAATAGTTCCTTCTCGGGATAGAAAAGGAAATAAATAGAAATTACATAAATAAACAAATACAAATATCTTTTATTACCAAAAGAAATAATATGAAAATTTTGAAATATTTGAATCTTTGTTCATATGTTTTGGTACAAAAAATCTGAATATTATAAAAAGAAACCTTTTAAATTTATTACGCAGTATTAATAATTATCCTTTGACGGAAAAAAAAACTAAAATTTATGGTATTTTAAAATTGCGATAATTTCTTTTATTTGAAACAAACCAAAAAAATTTTATTATTTTATTTTATTTTATTATTAAAAAGATTGACTGACCTTTTAATTCACACACGACGATGTCTCCTTTCGATCTGGTGTTAGGCTACCAACCAAAGCCTTCTCCGTTCTAAGTATCAACTTATCAGCATACTAGCAATTTTTTCTTCAAAAACACAAGTAGGCCTCTTTTATCAGTACTCGTCCAACAGACTCCAAAATTCTCTACTTTTTCTCATATACTAATAATCTCCTGACCCAAGTAATGTTATTTTTACTTGGTGTCGCAAATATTTTTAATAGTTATCATTCTTGTGATTTACTAACTTGGACTTTATAGAATTCACGAGGTATTCGACTTCTAAACTTTGATCTACCTCTCGTTCCACCTTTCAGCCATTCACTTCTATTATTAACACAACTATTAACACTACTGGCACTTGATTCTTAACTGACTACACAAAACTTCAACTGCCTCGTTCAAATGACCGTCACATAATAATAATTTCTACTTCAAACTTGAAAACATTCATTTTCTTTTCTCCATTCCAAACTCGCTAACCAATCAGAAAATTCCTATATCCCTTTTCTTATTTTACATCAGAAAAACCAAGCTTCGCTTCTAAACAACTTTCTTTGAAAATGATAACGGTTTTATCTCAAACTTTCTAAATACAATAACTACCTGGCGGCTTTGATCTTTCCAGCAAATTAAAACCAAAGATTTTTAAAATATAAGCTACAAATCTACAAATACCGGGAAACAAATTGTCTATTCACATTTAAATATTTACTAACATTTTTAGTCCTTCAGGGTAAAACTCATTATGGATAAACCCACTGCTTAAAATCAATTTATAACAAATATTTACAAATCGATATACAAGAAGTTGCAAAGTAATGTGCCCGCGTTCTATAACAAATTAAAATTTTTATTCTATCTTTGATTGATAAAATGAATCATAACAATATATTGTTATGATATGTAAAATCGAGAAAAATATTGGTTTGCTAAAAATATTTCAAAGTTCAAAAACATTAAAATAATTCAGATAAATGAAATCGTAGGCTTCCACGGCCAGAGTCAGAATTATAGTTTATTCGTCTTCCGGGTTTGGACCGTGTCATTTGTGAGTGACCCAAAAGTGGGTTCATCTCGACGTTTCGCTACAATTGTATGTAGCTTCTTCAGGAGAACAAAAAAACAAAAAGAAAGAAAGAAGAAAACAAAGAACAGGAAGATGGGTAGTTAGCAAAGGTAACTCAGTTACTCAACGCAACCAGAGGCGAATACTAACTACCAAGATGGGCATTTGGTCACAGTAACTCAACTACTCAACGCAGCCAGAGGTGAAAACCAAATGCCAGGACAGGGATTCACGTCCAACAGCTCAGAACACTAACGCGTCGAGAGGCGGGGAGTGAATCCGACGATTACTCCGCTACCGCTCTATTTATAGTCGCGGTGCCTGTCGTGTCGGGACGTATCGGCACACTTCGTGGCGCGAACGTCAAGAAGCGCGCGCTGGCCAATCATGTGGCTGCATCGTAGTGGCGGGACCGGACGGCGGTTCTAGACTGAGATTCCAGATGGGAGACAAGTAGTATCCTTCCTCTCGATTGATATTATGGGGATTTTTTCGGATCTCTAGAGATTCGCGGATTTTCCTGGAATAAAAGAAGGGGCTTTTAGAAATAATATGGGTTTTTTCGAACAATATGGAATGACCGGTTTCTTGGCAGTGTTCTGCAACTGCAGAATGGGAGAAAAGACCTGATCGAATGCATCTTTGATGCTCTTGAATCCGAGTTTTGACGGAACGACCAGTTTCGCCAATATACACATGTCCACATGAACAAGGAATAGAATAGACACCACAGGAAGATAGGGGCGGTAATGGGTCCTTAGGAGAGGGTAGATATTGTGAGATTCTCTTGGGTGGTCGAAAAGTAGTCCTGATACCTTCTTTGCGAAGAATTTTGCCAATCCTATCAGTGACATTTCGAATATACGGAAGAAAAGCCACAGGAGTATTACCCGAAGATTCTGAATTTGTCGTCCTAGGGTGTAAAGGGGGATGTAGATGTCGGTGTGTAATATTTTGAATTGTGGACTTGGAGTAACCGTTGGCGACAAGGGTTTTTTGCAGATGGCCAAGTTCTTCTCTAAGGTTGTCGGGTTCAGAAATCGAAATGGCCCGATGGATGAGAGAGTTGATCACAGAATTCTTTTGGGCAGGATGGTGGTGTGATGAAGCATGTAGGTAACGATTCGTGTGAGTCTTTTTTCTATAAACAGAGTGACCCAATCGGCCATCGGGCTTGGAGGTGACTAACACATCGAGAAAGGGAAGGGACCGATTATTTTCTACTTCCATTGTGAATTTTATACTCGGATGTTGTGAGTTAAGATGATCTAGGAAGGGAGAAAGGGTATGTTGACCAATCTATGGGGCCAGATGATAAATGTATCATCAACGTAGCGGAACCAGACTTTTGGTTTTAAGGGGTAAGATTCTAGGGCTAAAGACTCAAAGGCTTCCATGAAAATGTCAGCAATGACAGGGGAAAGGGGAGAACCCATTGGTGTTCCAGATATTTGTTTGTAGAAATTGCCTCTAAAAGAAAAATATGTTGAAAGGAGGCATTTTTCCGCAAGATCTGCCAAAACCAAAGACTTGTTATCATTGGTCAAGTGATCTCGCAGAACGACTAGAGAGTCATGTATGGGGATATTGGTAAATAGGGATGATACATCGAAACTGACGAGAATGTCTTGGGGATCGACTGTGAGAGAGGAGATTAAGGTGATGAAATGTGTGGAATTTCGGACATAAGAAGAGGTGCGACCAGTATAGGTCTTAAACTGATTCGACAAGTACTTTGCGAGTTTGTAGGTAGGAGAGTTAATCGTAGTCACAATGGGACGAAGAGGTACGTTATCTTTATGGATTTTGGGAAGACCATAAATTCTGGGGCAGATGGAGTTTTTCGGAACTATGGACTTCTTAATATCATCGGAAAGATCGGATTGTTGGATGACATGGGCAATTTCGCGTTCGACTCTAGGAGTGGGGTCTCGAGAAATTGTATTATAACAGGATGTATCCCTAAGTAAGTCGTTTACTTTCTCTATGTAGGAAGGAGTATCCAGGATGACTGTGGCATTACCTTTGTCTGCAGGAAGGATTATTATCTCAGAAAGAGAACGGAGATTTTTGAGAGCTATGAATTCCTCACGAGATATATTGGAAGTAGGGATTTTGGCTGTATCAAGACATTTAGCGACGTCAAAGCGGATACGGTCGGCTGGAATTTTGGGAATTGTGCGGAGTGCCGCTTCCACATTTGAAACTATTTCTTCGGTAGGAATTCTGGAAGGAGTGATAGCAAAATTAAGACCTTTAGATAGAAGACTGCTTTCTGCACTTGTTAATTGGTGAGAAGAAAGATTAACGACGGTGTTAGTGAGAGGTGAATGAGAAGTAGAAGTGGTGGAATGTGATTTTTTCTTCTTAGATACAAGGGATTGGAATTTCTTTTTGTGAGTTTCGTTGCTTAGAAGAAGGATTTTATCGGCTTGATGATAGGAAATGCGGTCTAAAAGTGACCAATCATCGACACTAAGAATACTGGAGAGTTCAAGATGTAGCTTAAAAAGTTTTTGGGATTGAAAATTAAGGGTTTTTCGAATATGTTGAATCCGTTCACGAAGTAGAGATAGGCTGGCTCGATGTAGAATGTAGAATGTATAGTGTTTCAATATCATATGTGTTTTTTATTATTCCGGTATTCTTTGGACCTTACTTTTCACATAGCACATAGATATTGAAGCACGAATTTAACCCTGAGATAAGAGAATTAAAAAGTGTGATAGAGTCATAATCATATCATTTAAATAATTTTAATTAATTAATTAACTAATTAGCTAATTAATTACTTGGCGCACCAAGACTTTAAATATCACAATAATATATATATTATATATATATATATATATATATATATATATATATATATATATATATATTGTTATGATTGTTTATTTTGAGTTCAAACTTAGTTTATTGAGCTAATAAAAAAGAAATATAACTTATTTGTTATCAAAAGTAAAATAATCCTTATATTACCTGTGTTCGATGGATTCAAAAGATTTTCTAGTTGTCTTTTATCGGGATAGAGAAGAAAAAGGATAAGAATACAAATATATTATATTACAAAGATTTACGTTTCTTTATTTTATAGGAACGAATAAAAGAATTATTAAATTCTGTCGTTATCTTATCAATCAGCATACAAGAAAATAAATCAAATTATTATGATAATAAGATTATAAAGCTACATACATTTATATTACATGAAAAACCGATTTTTTTATTTATTTTTCTTTGGTTGGAAAAGAAAAAGTATGATAATATATATATATATATATATATATATATATATATATATATATATATATATAACAATAAAAAGAAGAAATTATTTAATTAGTTTAGTGTTGTATAGATTAGATACAACTCCTCGTGCTGTATACTTGAAGGTATTTTTATTCTAATTTTATATATTTAATTTACCTAATTTTTTTTGTTTACTCACCAATGTTAAATATTCTACTACTTTGTCATCCTTGTATTGTCTTGCAACATTTATAGCGTTGTTTATATCATTCCTAGCATCGGGCTTAATTTTTTGTGCTATATCAATTTTAGCGAGTAAAACACATGCATTTACGCTCCATTCATATAGTTCAGGATCTTTCGCTGCTTGTCTCTGACAATTAAACGCGTATGATCGAGCCATTTCATAATGCTTAGTACTTAAATAAAACCGTCCTAACTCGTGTGCACACCAACATATCTCTTCAGTGGTCTCTGCCTGTTCTATTTTGTGTTCGTATGTCTCTATGCGTTTTCTAAAATTTCCAAAGTAGATATTAGCATTTACGAAATACAAAATATTGTGCATATCTAGTTATACAAAGCTATAAATTCGTTCCTATTCGACGGCTAATTGTTTGTAGAAATTATAAATTTGTAAAAAGAAGATAAAATTAAGTGGAGTCCCTCAAAATAGTGCAATTTTGTGCGATAGTGATCCAACACTATATTTACTGTACATAGCTGGCAGACCCACCACAAATAATACTACGAGTGCTACGTATGCAGATGGTAACGTCATAATTGATTAATCTATGGTGTGTCAAAGTAAGTAATATTAAATCTGTCTGAACCATTAAAATCGGACCAATAACAACGAAGATAAGAGATAGTGTCCCTTCAGCAATGCGGTCATATTTATATTTATTATAAAAACCGTATTCTCCATTCCCTCCTCTTGTCAACGAACACTCCTACGTCACGATCTGACACGTGCCCCTCTAAACGGCTACACCTGTCACACCTAGTGGTGTGACAGATGCCGCTTTATAGTCCATTTGTCAGAGAGCTGACCCCTAAAAATCATACGAACAAGCTAAATTTTGCAGAGAATTTTGGGACCAATTTTGGGACTAATTTTGGGACCACAAAAAAGTTAACGACTTTTATCCTCGGGCTTTTTCCTAAAACCCCTCTCGCTGGGAGGGAAAACACAAAAAAATCGATTTACCAAGAATCTGTACAGTGTAGAAAAAATGTTTCAAATAAAGAATGTGTCTAAAATAATTTTTTAATAAATCTAAATAAAATCTAAAATAAATCTAAAATAATAAAATAAACAAAAATGTTTTTAAGCATTTAAGTATAGAATGAACTGTTCTCTTATAAACAACCCTTGAAGCGACCGTCGATTTTACATGTCAGTTGCTTATTCTGCAATAATTCAAATGTAGTTCTAAAAGAAACGGATGGTAAAAAAAGAAAAATCAAAGAAGCGGCTCTAATTATGCTAAATGAGGCCAATTGTGTCGCAAATTCCTCGGCAGAATGTAGTATAATCTGGTTACCAATATTGAAAGAGGAAGTTATTAATAAGAAAATACCAGTATTAGTAAGTCAGTAACATATAGAGGATACATCATTTATGTTTTATAAATAACGTAACATATAAAATCAGAATTTTGATGTTTGTTGAAGGTAAACTAAATTCACGAACAAATACTTACAATGTCGGGATTGTATTATGAGGTTTTTTCCTGGTTTTTCCCTCATAATTTACTATGGAATCACTAACAGGAGAATTTTACTGTCATCATGTCATGTGTTTGTCTTTTTAAAGACGAATTACATGCTATGATTTTTTTCTGACGGATATTCTCAAGTTAAAGTTGATTTCATGTAATCGAATGAACTATCTTATAGGTAAAGTCGTCCCAGGAGCGCAACTCAACAATATTGGCAATATCATTTTAAAGTCGTCTACTTTAAAATGCATAATGTATGTCTGAATTGTCAATATAAATGAGTCAGATAAAATTAAATTATTAGAAGAATTTTTCACTATGTCACAAAAAACAAAAGTTGTTTAATTTACTGTTTGTATTTTGAGCACGATTTCCGAAGTGGAAGTTGAAACGTCAATAAACGTATTTTTATCTTTAATTGTGGCTTATTCCCAGTTTAATAGTAATTAATTTACAATGCCACAAGAAAATAGCTTCAGAACAATATAAAGTGCATTCGTTACAACTGTTTTCATGTCATCCTTTTGAATGAAAGACAACGATTAATTTCTCATTTTAATGAGTTAGGGGACTACAATGTTCAAAACAGATGTTTGACAGATCTGGTCACGGTTATACCTGTTGGTAGACGGAGAAGCCAAAACTTTGAAGCTCAAGCCAGTTTTAATCAATGTTCTTATATCTATAGAGTTCGGGTAAATGTGAGTGGCTCGTTACAAGATCCTGTTGTTTGCTATAAAGTATTTTTGTCTTTACACATTTGTCCCATCTTTATGTGTCAAAATATCCTATGGCGACTAGGCCTATCAGGATTTTAAAAATAGAAAAAAACCACTCAGGGTTTGTATTACACAAAGACCACTATTTTGGCCTATATCTTACAGCCGTGTTAGTTCCCTCAAAAAATCAGGCACGTAAGAGAAAATTGAAACCTGTTCCACTAAAGAAGCTATATAATGAATTTCTGCCTATTGAGACTGCTAAGTTGCTTGATTTATTGCATCTAACCCAATTCCTAACAAATCCTGAAGCGCATTTCTTTTACCAAGGACTAGTTTCCGATGGCGTACGAATGAAGGTAGTGATGTGGAATTTGCGAAGATCCACCAATCGACATTTAACGCGCAATATAGATCAGAGTCCAGCTTCTTAATTAAAAATTTGAAGATTTCAAGTACATGTATAATTAGCAAACTATTTTTTTTCATTTTTGTATTAAAAAGTCTTACAGTAATAAACTAATAACTAAATATTTTGTATTTAATTTTCCTAAACCAAAATAAACGATTTAAAACTTTAAAATTCGATTTGTACAAAATGAACAAAATGTGAGTGATCGTTCTTTTCCGTGGCCCTTCATTTGCGGACATTTTAGAAGATCTACAAATTCCTATAAACAAAATCACGTATTACAGTCAACAATATGGATATAAACGTTAAGATGACAAAGCTTATAATAATTAGCAACAAAATGGTAACAGCAGGTCAACTCTACGTCAATCAATCGCCTGTAGAACCTCGGCACCATAATAAATAAAGAATAGACCAACAACCAGGAGATTGAAGCACGCATCGGAAAAGCTAGATCCACCTTCAATCGGATAGGGACCTTCAAGAGTCACAACCTCTTTCGTTATACAAAAGTGAGAATGCTGCCATGCTACGTCTTCTCTGTCCATTTTTATGGTGTTGCATCGTGGACCTTGAACGAAGATGTGTGCAGAAAACTGGAAGTATTTGAGATATATCGGAGAATACTTAAGATCCTGTGGACTGACCGAATCACAAATGAGGAGGTCCTCAGAAGAATGAATAAGATCCGAGAGGACTGACCACCATCAAATCTCGAAAGTTACAATTCCTTGGACATATTATGCGAAATAAATCGAAATATACTCTCCTTTAAGCCATCCTACAAGGAACAATATTTGGAAAGTGAGGTCCAGAAAGAACAAGATCATCTTGGTTAAAGATCCTGAGAATCTGGTTCAATACAATATCTGTGCAGCTTTTCCGCTATGCTGCAGATAAGATAAAGATTGCCATGATGATCGCCAACATTCGTAATGGATAGGCACATCAAGAAGAAGAGAAGTCTCGAAGTCATGTTAGAGTAAATTCTATACATATTCAGTAGTGTAAATAGAGGAAAAGCCGATATGTGTGCTACCCCTACAGATAGGCGGCCTAACCATAGTCATGAGAAACAGAGGGTGTTCCATTACCCAGGGCATCCCAAGTAACTTTCAAGATCATATTTCTACTCACGCAAGTCACACCTTGGAGAGGGGTTGAGGAAAAGCCGGGGGTCAGATGGGTACCAATTCACTGTGAGGTGAGACCGGATTTATCATCGTACGTGTGGATGCCACTTTACAAAAATATACCCATGTTTCTCGGAGCACGGTTGGTCACTATTAACTCACAAAATCTGGGTTCTATGTTCTATTAGCTTCTTATTCAAACCGCCCTTATACTAGCCTATTAATATTTATTTAAGTTAATTATTGCTGCCTTACAATCGAAAAAGTTCAGGTATTTCTTGGGATTTTTTGCAGGTTTTTTATATCTTTTACCTTTAGAAACTATTTTTTGATTTTAAACTTTAAAACAGAAAATGCAGTTGGATTTTTTAGTATATGTATATCATAGTACTCTTACCTAAAATCCACATAAGCAGGTTGGTAGTTATTTATCACAGAATCATTCGATGGACATCTACTTACTGGTAGCCCAAAGGACAACATAATTCTTTTCTCTTGATCCCATTTGAACTGTATGGGATTTAGTCGCAAAAGCCCGTAGAAGGCTTTTCTTACTACTTTAAATATTTCACTCATAAAATACTGTTTATCTGGAAGGTATTTCTTTGATTTGTTTTGACAAAAATAATCTAGTTGCTCACATGCTGTAAGAATCGCAAAAAGGTTATGTTTTTCCTGAGCAATCACCATTTTTTTTAGTAAAGCTTCGGCCTCTTTTCTATAATTTAATTGAATCAAATACTGCTCTTGTTTTAACCGCCTTTCAACATTTGTGGTACATTTATCTTCTTGATATTTTAGGTGGTAAAATGGACGACGGGTACGTAGAAGCTCCTTAAAATAAAAAGAGAAGTTAAATAATAAATACATTCCGACTAACAGACAACAATGCTAAACAGACAAACAGGCCCCAGGTCATCTGTCATTGGAAATCTCTCATGTTTCAGAATTTTCATATCACGGTTGGGTTAATAATTTTCTTTTTACATTTTTATCACTTTCTATTCCCATTCGATTTTAACTTATAAAACTCTTACCAAAAGAAATAAAAAAAGGTAAACCCAAACTACATAAAGGACATAAAAAATAGGTGTTCTTTAATTTTGGACGTTCTTGGGGGGGAAATTTTCCCTATCTTCCCTTCCGTATATCTGCCACTGCTCTTTATTATATGCTCATAGATGTGTTAAATTTTCTTTCAATTTATCTAATTACTACGTAAATTATTATTAAAATATCGTGTTTTAAATACTTATGAAGTATATTTCGCATTTCCTCTTTCACTTATATCAACACTTTTAGAGGACGATGTTGTAGTTGAGTGGTTATTTAAATTCATATGAAGCGTATTATATACAAAAAAACACACACACACACAGCAAAAATTTAGGAAAAGTTATAAATAGTTTTTTTACAACATTTAAATAATCTAAATACACCTAAAAAATTATGAATAAAAACATTGAAAAAAGTATAGTCCGTCTAGAAAGTATCCGGAAAAAAGAAAGCTGAATTATAATTTTACGGCATTTATTTCTATCACTTGAAACATAAAATTTTAACAAATAATTCATCTCATTTACTTATACAACCTCCGTTTAAATCTAAGCACTTAACTAAACGTCCAGGTACACCCATAACTAGGTCAAGGCCATAATTTTCTGTAATGGTGTTCCAGGCCTGTAAAACTGATCGAATCAAACCTTCTTTATCTCAAGGCGCTGCTCGCTCCACTTCAATCTTTATCAGTCCCCATATGTTTTCAATGGGGCTAAGATCTAGAGATGCTGCTGGCCACGGAATTGTTTCTAATTCGTGGTCTTGCATCCAAGCTTGAGTATAAGCAGAAGTATGGCATCTTGCATTATCTTGCTGAAAACGCCACCCCTCTGGATATAAAACATAAGCCGTTTCAAGAAGAAAACCATTTAGGATGTCACAATATTTCGCACTATCAACAGTACCATTAATTATACAGAGAGGTGTAGCACCACGTTGAGATATTGCTCCCCAAACCAATATTTTAGTGGGAAATTTGGAAAATTGAACGGTAACATTTTCTCTTGATAGGACTTTTAGATGATTTGCACCAAGCTGAAAACAGCTTTCATCAGATATAAAGACATTATTAAAATTATCTTCTCGAAAACGTTGACAAAAATCTATTCTGCGTTGTCTTTGCAGAGGTGTCATTGTAGGGATTTTTTTTGGATTCCTTGATATGTAGCCTTGCTTTTTTAGTGACATGCGGACAGTTTCTGGGCACACTTTTATTCTTCGGTGATTTCCAAATCTGTTCGCTAATTTTCGAAACCCTACGCGCGGATTTTGTCGTCCTAAAGCCACTAAAGCATTTAAATTGTTTCCGCGAATCTTACGCGGTCTACCCGAAACTGGTCTATGTCTCATATCTATGCCATTTTTTATCCTCTTTATTGTCTCATACACTGCACTTTTTCCGAGTTCAGTCAATTGCACTAATTTTATAACGTTTCGGATGCCCTTTATGTACAAATATTCCACCACTTTTCTTTTTTCTACTTGCGACATTATTTCACAAATCTTAAGTCTGCTTACAAACAACAATATTTGACAGATGGTGTTGTCATGCGATATTGTCTATAACCTACTATCGGCACAACCTACTTGATGCATAACTTTTGTCTTAAAATGTTACAAAAAGGAAATCTATTAAAATTAGGAAAAATATAAAATTCCGGATACTTTCTAGACGGACTATATTTTGACAATTTAATTAATTAATTGAAATTGAGCATATCTATTTTTTTATGTTATTAACAAATTTTGGATGTTATTAACAAGAGATGAAGTGGAATCCACGATTAAAGAAATGAGGTCGGGGAAGGCTACATGCCAAGATGAACTACCAATAGACATAATTAAATTCATCAAAGGCAACAACTTAATAAAGATCGTGGAACTATTTAACAACATTTACAAATCTGGTATCATACCTAATGAATGGCTAGTAACAACAATAATAGCCATACCCAAAAAGTCTAATGCGAGACAATGCTCGGAACATCGCACCATCAGTCTCATGTGTCATATATTAAAGGTCTTCTTAAAAATCATTCATCGGAGAATATATAAAAAATTGGAAGTTGACATCGGACCCTCTCAATTTGGCTTTAGAGACGGACTAGGAACTAGAGAGGTACTGTTTGCTTTTAATGTTCTAACACAACGATGCTTAGACGTAAATCAGGACATATTTGTGTGTTTCCTAGACTATAACAAAGCATTTGATACAGTAAAACATAGGCCACTGATGCAAATACTGGAAAATAAAAATATTGACACAAGGGATATGCGAGTGATAAGGAATCTATACTACAAACAAGAAGCTACAGTACGAATTAACAGCTCGATATCAGATAGAATACAGATCAAAAGAGGTGTTCGGCAGGGCTGTGTGTTGTCTCCAACCTTGGTCAATGTCTACGCGGAAGAAGTTATTAAAAAAGCTCTTATGAACGAAAAAGCCGGAGTAAAGATCAACGGTCACCCCATTTGTAATATCCGATATGCTGATGATACCGCGCTCATAGCAGAAAATATTGACGACCTACAGAGATTACTAAACAAAGTGGTAGAAGCAAGTAAAGAATTTGGTCTGTCACTGAATACAAAGAAGTTCAAATTCATGATAATTACAAAGAAACGTATCAATAATATTAACTTACATGTAGAACAGAATTTCATTGAACGAGTACAAAATTACAATTACCTCGGAACAAATATTAACGAGTCAAACGAATACACCAGAGAAATAAGAATAAGAATAGAGAAAGCCCGCAGTGCCTTTAACAACATGAAACAAATGTTGTGTAGCCGAAACCTAAGCCTAAAGCTGAAAATACGAATGCCTAAATGTTATGTTTTCTCGGTCCCGTTATATGGGGTGGAGGCGTGGACACTAAATAAGCAATGTATGGGTAAGCTGGAGGCATTTGAGATGAGGGCGTACCGAAGAATGTTAAAAATCTCCTGGAAGGATAAGATAACTAACCAAGTTGTATTAGACAGGATAAACAAACAAAAGGAGGTCGTATTGAGTGTTAAAATGAGGAAAGTAAAATACTTGGGACATATTACACGTGGGAATAAATATCAACTGTTACAACTAATTATGCAAGGAAAGATTAAAGGTAGGCGCAGCATAGGTAGGAGAAGAATGTCACGGTTGAGAAACCTCAGGGAGTGGTTTGCTTGCACTTCCATACAATTGTTCCGAGCGCCAGCCTCCAGGGTCAAAATTGCCATGATGATAGCCAACTTTCGTAGCGGAGATGGCACGTGAAGAAGAAGAACAACAAATATTAAGTAAAAATCAATCGGTTCATGACCAAGTATTTGCTCTTCGGCAATGATGAATCCTGTACTGTAAGTAAATTCAAATTTATGCAGTTCTTCCGGGTCATTTATTTCTTTCCACAATATTTATCTGCTCTTAAACAACATCATCTATGTTGACGATTCCTTCAGTTTCTCTGTGTTTAAAATAATTAACAAATTAACATAAAAAATTTTAAATAAGCCATCTTACCAATATTACTAAATCCTCGACTAAATTTGAGATACCTGCTTCGTTATACAACTTTTATTTCTTTATTGGTCTACTAACATCGTTACCCTTTCTATAAAGTAAGAAAACAATAAAGACAGCAATCTACACTATGAGCGAAATCATTTACCCATTATTACTTAATCAATAGAATTACTGAGTCCAGTTTGTTTAATATAACTCGAATAAAGTTGATCACTGTCATTCTCTCGATAATCAGGATTAGCGTCAAAGTCATAATCTGATATATTACAATCACTGAAATCAGATTCTTTTAGTATTCGACGAAGTGCATCTTTTGATAATCCTTTATTATTCATTATACGAATATATGAATACTTTTCTACTACAGGAACTGAATACGATGTGTGAATTGTGGCACACGATGATACCACAGTGCAATACAAAGTCAACAAAAATCCTAAACTACCAAAACTCGGGGCAGGTTTTACCGGACCAAGACAGATTTCCATTTTCTATAGACCAAACTTTTATAAAGTTTTGGTGTCCTTGTTTATTTTTACTTTTTGTTGGGTATTTCTCTTCTCTAGTTCTCCCAAAGATTCCAATTCCTCCTCTTTTACACTATTTTTTACATTGTTATACGACTCTTTGGCGTTTCAGAAACGACTTTTTATAACTTCTAGTCCAGTCTTCTCTGGTGAAGGTTCTTTATAGATTCGTCTTGCAGTAGATATATCATGAACTTAATTTCTCCTTCTTTTTCGCAATTTATACTTGGCGTTTTATCCTTTCGCTGGCTTCGTTGTTCAACATGTAGGGAAACCCCATTTTTAATATTGTTACGAGATGGGTAGTGCATTTGGCTTCTCTCTAAACTCTTGACTACAACTTCCAGTCCGGCCGCTGCTTCTAATTTTTTTAACGCTTCGCTTTAACAGTAGAAGATGTCATCTATATATTGTACAAATTTTTTTTTCCTTTGTTTAAGTGGTTATCAGAATTTTAAGGTGCATCATCTTAAATTCTTCTATTACCTCTTTGTCTTTAGTTCGTCACCTTGGACGTTACAAGTACCCTACGAGATTTGTCTCTGTTTGTTGAAATTTAAGACTGGTTTTCTTTTACTTAAAGTAAAATTGCCCTCCCAGTATCCCATGGGACTTCCTTCGTTGAAGTTGTGGATTACCGTTCGGGGAACTACATCCTAATTGTTCATCCAAATTCTTGTATGTTCACACTTTATAGTTTGTGCTTATGCTAGGATGCTGAAGTCTGACGCCAAAATCATTACTTGAGAGGACCTGTCAATAAGCCGCCCATGCTGGATCCGACGATAGTTTCAGTCTTCCATTCTGGATCAAATCCTATTTGACTTTATACCAGCTCCAATATCTAACATGCCACTTCCGCTAGTCCTGGCATCTGAAAATGTTCTTCTGGGCAAAGCTAAGTGATGTGTATCCACAGAACTGAGTCCCTATCTAAGCTTTGTCACCTGTTTACTACGGCCATCGAAATGAGAGGTGACCACTATCTAACGTGAATGCTTCAGGCAAGAAGTATTCATGTGAGCGTTAGAGAAGGAAGTTCTCTCTCCATGGATCGGATTAATAGACAATAAATTAATTGCTACGAAATCTCGTTACGAACGTTACGAAAGGATACTTGTTTTAATGAAATTGTTCTCTTTTTCGGTGTTCGCATTATTGTGAAAGTCATTTTAGGATTCTGATAATTTATGCATTTATAATAAATGATTAATTATCTGAACCCTTAGTCAGTATAGTTTATGAAATAATTAACAAACTCCAATTCTAAATATAACTAATTAAAAAGCTATCGAGTGTATAACCTAATAATATTAGACTATTTTTAAACAACGGATATATTTTTTTAATATCTTAATGTTTATTTTTAATAGGTACCTGTTTAAACGAAACGACTTCATACGCTTTCTTAGCCAGAGCTTTAAGTTTTTTTGTTCCTTTAGCATTTGGACATTCAATTCCATGTTTATGTTTTATATTTTTAAGGAAGATCTTCTCTCTATACATGATATCTAAATACTTTTCTGACATAAAATTTTCAATGTTAGTTGTATAATGCTGCAAGGGAGAAAATGGATATTCTTGAGTAAATGGTGGTATAACAATATTGCTTCTCGTTTCTGTCACATCGTGAAGAGTGTCGTATATTTCTGAAATAAAGAAAATAGTCGTTTAGCACGAAGTTGACATACCTAAGATTACCTTAAAAAAATGTGATAATTATACCATAAACGTTAACATTTATTAACATAAACCGAGCAGTGACGACTTATCTTATGCGGTCGTTTGATCTGTCTCCCTCTAACACAGTGAAACTCCCTACTCTCTACCGACAAAAAAAGTCGCTGCTATGCTTCCTTAAAGTAAGATAGAGATACAAGTAACAAAACAAAACAAGGATGGTTTCGTCACTTAGCTCTACACACTATTCGGTCTATGTTAATATACGAGTATACGTCTATGAGCCATACACAAACAAATAAAGTTGATATCACTCTATGCTTTTGATTACAGCCATCTTAAACTTTCATATTAGTTAATAAAACCCTCCCGTTTGTAGTTTTAATGCTAGATATGTAAGAAATTAGGAAAAACTAATGATGCCTCATTAGTACGTTTGCCACAGGGCTCAGTTTTAAGCACAATCTTATTTTTACTTAGCATAAATGATTCCTCATAACGGAATCACTAGTCAGGTACTCGATATATGCTGATAATAATATGTTAATGTAAAGTCACAGCTATTACCAGACCTTTGCTACAAAATGCAATAAACAAAATAGACGCCTGGTCTACGAGTGCTATGCTATATATATATATATATATATATATATATATATATATATATATATATATATATATATATATATATATATATATATATCCAATGTAATTCACTTTACCAAAAAGCATAGACCTAGTCTACCTTCTTTAACTCTAAACGGACTTCGTTTATAAACAGTTGACTATCTGACACGTCTTGGTATCGCCTTTGATAAAAAGCTTATCTGTATACAACATATTTAGCAACTTAAAGGAAACTGTACCCGAAGAATCAATTTACTTCAATCTCTTGCTGTCTTCTCTTAAGGAGCTGATAATATCTGTGATTAAAATATATACAGAATTAATTCGCTCTAAGCTAGACTATGGTAGTATTCTTTATATGGCATTTTATGGTTACCTCCATACTAAAGTCTCTAAACACGATTCAAAATACATCCCTACGACTATGTCTTGGTGCTTCCAAATCAAGCCACGCTAAAAGTGTTTGTGTTAAATCTTCAGAGCCACCACTCCATCTAAGAAGGCGGTAACTTCTACTTTCGCACTTTGTAAGAATATCAGCATACCTAAGTAATCCGGTAATCAACCTAATTAATCCCATAGAACCTCCCCCAAAAAAACGCATCCAATCAATCACTCACATTTACTACAAATATTATCACCTTTATTGGAGTCCATCGACATTTTCACTACTACTTATATTTATGCCCCCATATAGCTTCATGGATGCCCAGTCTACCAATATTCAATACTCATTTATGTAGATTCAATAAAACAGAAACCACAAACTCAGTACTTAAAAAATCCTTCCAAAACATCCTTAACATAATTTCATAGAATAAAGACTGTTGTTACTGCGCTGTGATGAATATGGGCTAAAACGTGTACTTCTAAGACCAAACTTATGGTTGTCAGCAAAACGGACTTACAACCAACGAACATCGAATCGTATGGAATAAAGTTAGAAAAAGTCCACAATATTACCTACTTGGGAGCAAACGTTAACGATAACTGGAAAATAAATAAAAAAATAAGAATACGCATTGAAAAAGCCAAAGCCACCTTCCATAAATTAAAGAAAATTCCAATTATTAGAGATATTACGTTAAACCTTAAAATCAGATTAATACGCTGCTACATATTCTCCACATTGCTGTATGGTATGAAGAGCTGAACCCTTACAGAGACATTCATTACAGAGACAACCTTCTACATCTCATAATACAGGGTAAGATCGCCAGAAGGAGAGGCCCAGGCCGACGAAGAACATCCTGGCTCCGAAATCTCCGAGAATGGTATTAAAAAACTACCGCTAAAATTTTTAGAGCCGCCGTAAATAAAGTTATTATTGCCAATATGATCGCCAACGTTCGATAATCGGACAGGGTACTAAAAGAAGAAGAAAAAGTGGCTGCGCTGTGCCTACATTGTCGACAACAATAAGCTCTGTGCGACTGCCTAAGACTTGTAGTATCTACACCGCAGGGTTATATGAAATACTCCAAGCATTAAAAACTTAAATCTATCCTACTTCAAATGAGACCAAGACAATTGCCATTAGTACTGTTTCTCTTTCCTCGATTTCTTCCATCAGATGCATTTTCTCCAAAAATCTACTAGTCCTGCAAAAGTTATAATGATCTGGACTCCATCTGATGTTACTAAAGAAAACGATAAGCATATGTGTGACGAGTTGATAACCCTAGTTTTTAAAGCCAAAACCAAATTTGTTTTCAAATTTGTTTTTGGTTTTGGCTCTAAAAACTAGGGTTATTAACTTCGAACACATCGAATTCAGGGACAAGGGACTAAAAAAGTCGAGATCTTCAAGAGAATTCCTATCCCATAGGGCTGTTAAATAAACTCATTTTTCGGTTCCCCTTTTACTTCGCAAGTTTCTGTCAACCAAAATTTTCATACCATCTAAAACAACTTATGGTTGCCTACCCTACATTCCAGTTCTGGCACCTAAGCTAATGAACATCTTTAAAAATCTTAGTGGCTTAAAAATTACAACCAAAAAGGTGAAAACGGTATCGAAGCTTTACACAAAGACAAAATATCCTTTCACAATACAGGAGTCATCGAACGTTCTTTATTCTATACCGTGTACTAATTGTAATAAAATTTACATAGGAGAATCATCTCCCAATTTTAACAGCAGGCTGATATCATATCGTAGTGATATAAAAACCAAAAAAATCAATGCGTGTGCATTAAGAGAACATACATTAACTCTGAAACATGAATTCAATTTCGATGATTCCTGTATTTTGGCAAAAGAAAAGAACCATTCAAAACGTGTTTTTTTGGAAATGTGTTGCATAAAATCTAGCACATCTTGCATCAATAAAAAGTCGGACATAGATAAATTAAGCAAGATTTATTGTTATTTACTAGAAAAACACCAAAAATAAAATAAATATTTACCTATATATAAATTACACCTGTATATATAATATGTTGCATACCATGAACACAAGTTTAAAAAGTATAATCTCCTAAGACCTAATACTAGACTCTAGTATTTCTTGAAAAGAAAGATAACATCAAGTACACCTAATTACATGTTAATTACAGTGTTTTTATTTTCCATTCTCTGTGTATATGAGTTAAGACACAACAGTAAAACATGTAATAAACAAAGTTTTACCATCTTTACCCTAAATTTTAAAATGTATTTTGTCCATGATTTTATAGTTTTTATATTTTAATGTGTGTTATAAATGTTGAGTGTCAATGCTTTTACAAATAATCTCAACGACTAGTAAGTTACACTGAAGAATTGTGATATTTTTTAAATATTTACATATTTGTCTTATTACAGTGTCTTGAAAAAGGAATAAAACCATTCCGAAAGCTAGACAAAAAGTCAAAAGAGTGTTTTTTTTAACATCCCGGACAATATTTTGACTGCATCCCTAATAAACTCTGTTGTTTATATATATATATATATATATATATATATATATATATATATATATATATATATATTGTTATGGTATGTAAAATCAAGAAAAATATTGGTTTGCTTAATATATTTCAAAGTTCAAAAATTAAATAATTAAAATAACTCGACTAATAAGCTATAAAGATATTTCAAAGAAGTGAAAGTCCATTATCTTTGGATTACCTGTAGCAAACAAAATTTAAGATATGCATAAATTATTTTCTTTGTAAAATATATTCGAGTGAAATTAGTGAAACAAGACAATGCGAGCGGGTTTTCAAAATGGATTTGTACAGTAATTAGGATAATAGAATATATGTTTCGAAATATATTTCTCTGTTAGTTCTTAAAAATTTGTAGAAACCGATTAGTTTACTAATAGTTTTTAGGAAATTTATAATTATAGGTAAAATTGCTTTTTGATATTTAAATGAAGAAATGGGGATATGTATGACGAGTTTTGATTGAAAGAGATTGAAAAAGGTGGGATGGTTTGTAAAAATGAGACTGTAGCTAAGTTGGGGACTTTGAGGGAAAAAAGTTGGGCAGTTGTTTTCCAAGTGTGCAAGGCGAACAGTCATTGTTCTCTGGTGGTTCCCGAGAGGTAGCAAGCAGTAGAAGTGAATGTTAGTGAATTTTTTCGTGGTGTTAGTGTATCTGACAGAAGCTGATCAAGTAAAATATTGTAAGTTATATTTTTCTACTTATATTCCAAGAGACACTGTTCAGGCCAGAACGAGAGATTCAGTTTATCGAGAGGAGAAGTGGCTAGCATCATTTGAACGATACGTGCATTTGAAGGAGATCATTAAAGATGATAGGCTCGCAACAATTTGTTGTAAGATTGTTGATTGCCTAGGGGACTGCTAAGATTAGATAGAGTAGGCTACAAGGAACAAGGATTTAGACAACTCGTCATTGGAGAGATAGTTTTGCTATTCATCAGTTTTCTTTATTAACAACACAATTTTTACAATTGCTTTAGAAAAGGTAGAAATATTTTGATTAGGAGATTTAGAACAACAATTGTGATTTGAGATTTTAATTTATATTATTTGTACCATTATTTTGAAGGTTCACGTACGTAGAACAAAAGTTTGATAATCATTTTATGAGATATTGTTTCTTGAAGATTTTTGAGTGTGAATTTTATTTCAATATATTTTTATTTCAATATATAATGTGATATCATATATGTTTTTTATTATTCCGGTATTCTTTGGTCCTTTCCTCTCACATGTAAAGCATATATATTGAAGCACGAGTATAATTCTGAGATAAGAGAATTAAATAGTGTGATAGAATCATAATCGTATCATTTAAATAAGTTTAAAGAATTAATTAATTAGCTAATTATTTGCTTGGTGCACTTAAGACTTTAAATATCACATTAATATATATATATATATATATATATATATATATATATATATATATACATATATAATAACAGATTGATTACGACTGTCGCCGCCCCCAATTTTCATCTTTTTCTGTCATATGCCGTTGCCTCTTCTAAGTTTCTTGCCGTCATTACTTCATCAATATCGTTGCGCCAACTTCTCCGTGGTCGTCCTCTCTTTCTTCTTTCAGGAGGGACCCATTCCAGTACTCTTCTAGGCCATCTTTTCTCTAGCGTATTTTAACATATCCGAACCAGGTTAAATTGTTTTCTTTCTATGTCATCATTGATATTTCGCTCCATTTTCATTTCGTTTCTTCCTTGTTCGTTTCTAACTCTGTCCATTTTCGATCTACCGCAGCTTCGTCTCAGATAATCTATTTCTGTCGTCATAAGTTTGTTTCTATTAGCTTTGGTGACGTAACATACTTCCCAGCCGTAAAGTGTAATACTTTGCACTATACAACCGTAAATGGGGTCGCTGCTTTGCTCTTGTTTATTCTTCCCTGATTTCATCTGCGCTATTTCCTTTCATGTTGAAAATTACCCCCAAATATTTGGGGGTAATTCCACGCTTTTGATTTTGTAGTCTTCCAAGACTAGGTCACATATTTCATCTGTTCCCACTGAGAGATATTCACATTTTGTCATATTTATGTTTAGACCTGCCACCTCATATTCTTCTTGCAGTTTTCTTATTTATTATCATCACGTAGCGCTACAACCCTAGATGGGTCTTGGCTGACTGTACCACGTTTTTCCAATTTGTTTGGTTTTCTATCAACCTAGGGTCAAATGGAATGTTCATTTTCCGCAGATCTGATTGGATGTTATCTTTCCATCGCATTCTGGAACAGCTGAGTGGTCTTTTGCCTATGGGAATCTCGTTCCGTACCAGTTTTACAAGTCTCTTGTTATCTAATCTGTGCACGTGACCTGCCCATCTTAGTTGCTGTGATTTAATTTCTTGGACAATATCGGCGTCATTGTAGAGTGCTTTTAATTCGATATTGGTTTTGATCTTATACTAGTTTGTGGTGGTGTCATTGTGAGGACCGAAGCTTTTGCTAAGTATTTTTCATGCCAAGATGCAATACGAACTCTAAAAATCGAAAAGTATGCCGACTCTAAGAAATACCGAACGAATTACTAAAACAGAGCCCACAAGTATTACGGGAATTACTAGCATATGTTTTCACTTTATTCTACTTTTGACACGACTTTTAAGCAATTTTACTAACTACAATTTTTAAACACTTACAACAAAGCTTACAACTACTTCCGATTTTGTAGAAACTTCTTTTGTTATTTTCTATAGGTAATAAGAATATAATCGAGTTTGTGATAAACGTTAATCACCTTGTATAACTTATCGATAAACATTATATTTAACTAATGTCGTAAACAAGAAAAAAAGCAATACATACCCCTTTTACTCGCTGGTTGACTGTCTTTCACAGTTAAACGTTTGACTTTCTTCTTTTCCTTCTCAGCATTGTTTTTCAAAATTATTTTTCCAATATTAAACTTATGATCTCTTTTTCTCTTTGCAATAAAGTTGTCGGGATAGGATGCGACAATATTTTTTACCCAGGCAATTTTTCTTATTAATTTAAAATAATCACGCAGAGGGGTACCAGCAGATTCTCCTATACAATTTTCAATAGCAATGGAACACTAAAATAAAATAAATTAACATTAGAATACGTAGATATTTGTATCATGGCACCCCATGGAAGAGATACACCAAACGATGACTTTGTTGGATCCACGGTCACAGCCGATCAAAATGTTTGTCAATTAGTCGAATTCGATAACATTGAACAATGTCGCAGTATCGTGAATAATGAAAATCATAGTGAGTAACATTTAAGAACTACTTCCTTGATTTTGGATACTCGTTGTTATTATTATTTGCATAGTACAACAATATTAAATAAGGTTGAAAACAAAGGTATGACTGAAACTATTTGCTATATTTAGAGTTTTAACAAGTATCTCGAACACCGATATAAGCATAAAATAAATTAGTTTTAGACCCAATTTGGCGATACGAGTAATGTTGTTCAGCCTATCGGCTCTTCGACAAGCTTCTTCACTTGCTTCATAGTTTATGCAAAAGCTTTGGACTTTGATAAACACTGTGAGTGACTCCCTTCACAAGGAGTCTCCATTATGATACACCGTCGCTTCAGAAAATACATCACATCATAGGAAGGCATCAACGAAATAATGATAAAAATAAATATATGTATAAAAATATACAGACTGACCATTCTGGGAATATATGCAATCAACGACGATGCTATTGTAAATGTAAAAGATAACTTTTTCGTACAACTTACTAAAGAAATTACAAAGGTGGGTAACACAAAAGAAATAATAATCCTGGGAGACCTCAACAGCAGAGTCGGAAAAAAGAACAGCGATAAAGTAGTAGGTAGATATGGAGAACATAATACGAGCAATAACGGAGAAAGATTAATAGATATATGCGATCAGAATGGACTCAGAATAATGAATGGATATTTCCAATATATAAACATTCATAAATATACGGGGACTTAGAAAACCCGAAACTTAAAATCAGTTATAGACTATGTCATTCTTAAACAAAAAAGTCAACTAAAAACAACAGACGTAAGAGCATATAGAGGACCCACTTGCGGCAGTGACTACTACCTTCTACCTTCAGATATTTCATTTCGACATAAAAAAAAACAGAAAACGCAGCAAGATAATCATTCAAAGGAGCCAGTACAAGAAGTACGATACAATTTAAATAGTTTACACCAAGAAAGTGTTAGAAACCTATATAAACGTAGACTGGAACAAAAACTATTGAAACGGAAGATAATAACAGAAATGTTAATCTGTTATACAAAAACATCAAAGAATGTATACACGCCGCTTTCCCTAGACGTACTGGGGCGATATGAGAAGATCAGACAACAAAAACCATAATGGTGGGATCAAGATATTCCGCAGGAAATAACACAGAAAAGAAAATTGTATCAAAAATATCTGAACACAAGAAATGTGGAAGACAGAATCGAATACAAAAGAATGCAAGCAATGGTCAGAAGAAAAATATGCCAAAAGAAAAATGAATTCTGGGAAAAAAGGGCACCATGCTAAATACATACATTGGTGGAGCCAAAGTTCAGAAAGCTGGAAACTGTTAAAAATTTAAGAAACAACAGAAAAGAGATATTATCCAGCCCATATCACCGCAAACTTGGAAAGAGTACTTTAAGATATACTAACAGAGACAAGGGAGCCCTTTAAACAGCTAGAGAACTATGGTTAGGCGTCAGGCTGATAGGATCACCAATCAGAATAAATGAGAGAGAAGTTGAAACCGTATGCACACATCTAAATAATGGCAAATCACCGGGCCCAGTTAACTTTTCCAGGAATGCATAAATAAACATGGAATACCTGAGGAATGGAAAGAATCGCATATGAGCATCATCCATAAAAATGGAGATGAATCGAAACCTGAAAACTATAGAGGAATTTCAGTTACTAGTAGTATTAGCAGAATATATGGGAAAGTATTAAAAAATCGAATAGAAGAAGAATACCAAGATATGGAAGCCAAAAAACAGGCTGGTTTTCGTGCAGGTCGATCTACAATAGACGATGTCTTCTCTATTACTCAGATAATTAAGAAGAAAGTTGCTCGTGGCCAAGAAGTCCACTTGACGTTCGTACACCTTAGGAAAGCATATGCTAGTGTCCCGTTTGATAAATTATGGAAGGCACTGGGAAAAACAAATATAAATATAGAATTGATTAAAGCAGTAAACACTTTGTACTACCAACAAACAACAAGAATTAAAACAGGAAATCTGATAACACCGGGATTCAAAGTGACTCAAAGACTAAGATAAGGATGCTGTATATTCCCAACATTATTCATAATATACCTCGAAGCAGCACTCAACAAATGGAAGAAAAAATGTAGGAATATGGGCATACCACTAATGGACGTAACTTTGTACACTCTGTGCTTTGCGGATGACCAGGTCATCAAAACATTGCTGTATCCATCTGTGTTTATACGTCCATGGTCTTAGTAATTCTAATTATAAAGACGTTTACGAAATTAATAATAAACTTTTATATTAAAAGAAAAAATTAATAGTAAAATTAAAAAAAAACCTTACAGACCCATAAGCATATCAAAACAACAATTTTCTTCCTATTTTGAGTTCAATAATTACTTTAGTAACTCTTATATACACTCACAAGTACTCGTTCTAGTACGAACACAGTAAATAATTTTGTAAGCGAGGTGATTGATGGGCTTGAACGCGGCAGACACATAGCAATTTCTCTTTGCGACTTTTCTAAGGCTTTTGACTGCATTTCACAAGATATTTTGCTTCACAAATTAAATAACTATAGAATCAGAGGTATTCCAGTAGTTCCAGTAGTGTATAAAGGTCATCTCTCCGATTTTCTATCTGTAAAACATGGAGTCCCACAAGGTTCGGTCTTAAGACCTCTTTTGTTTATGTATGTCAATGATTTGCCTAAATTCATATCTTAGTTCAAATACGTACAATTCGCAAATAATACGACATACTTTGTATAAGGAAAAAATAGTGATGATTTAAAAATGTCTTATGAGAAAGTTTCTACTAAATCTAGTACAGTGTTTGCTGCAAACAACCTGAAACTTAACTCCGATAAAACGCAAAATTTGGTTACATCTGCAAGTAATTTATATATTAATCCACAGATAACACAGAGACTGTTTAATATTAGAATAACTATAGACAATCGACTGAACTGGTCGGCTCATATCTCACAACTAAAGAAGAAGCAATCAAGTTCATTATTTGTTATTTGCCAACTAGCAAGGGTTGTCAAATTTAAACATTAAAATTGACATATTTTCGTTATTCCACTATTACCAGGTTGATGATGATGTTGATGATGATGATATTACTGCAAACATTCATCTGTAAGTAGCATTCAAAAAAAGTGAACTGAATTATTATCGGAGACTTGTATTAGTAACCGGTGTTTAAAAAAAAGAAAATGTTTGATACCAACAAAATTTTATTTTCATTTATCGCTTCCTTTAACTTCAACGAGTAGCTTAGAGTACCATTAAATATATTTTTGTTAAAAAATTAATATTTTCATCTAATCTTATAACCTACATTATCTTCTGTATCCTCACTAACTGTTGCAGGTAAGTTATTTTCAATTTCATCCTCAGATTCTGGTAAATACTCACTGTCTGAATCAAGAAAATCACTAAATTCTTTATCGCTTGCTTCTAACAATCTCAACAGTCCTTTATCTGATTTTTTTCTTATCTTATTTAATTTTTTTATTTGAATTTTTGTCACTTGGAGAAATATCGTCATTTATATTATTTTTATTCATTTTTACACTTCAATATGCCATTTAAATATAAACTAATCAAACAAGATGTAAAAGAACCCAAATCATATTTAGGGATAACACTGAAAATATCCAAGTATCACCAAGCGTTATAATTGACGAGTCTAAAATAGGGAGAATATCGAAATCTGTGAATCTTGCTACGTGTACTTACACGGTTACTAATCCGATACAATAATATGCAATTGCAGAATTTTATGTACTATTACTAACATTTACAATTATTACAAAGCCAAAAGATATAGACACACTGTCAGGACAAAAAAGTAGTTAGTCGGAGAACCAAGAATTAAATTAGAGAATTGATACCTCCAGTTACCTGTCTTTAAAATATAAAAGCCCATGGTGTAGCGCCAGTGAAATAATCTGAGACCAAAAACAAAAATAAGATTAATAAATAGTATAGTTCTTCCTTTACTAACATATGCATCTCTCGCGTGGGGACACATATGCAATAAACAAAAAAAAATACAAGCGGCACATCACAACAGCCTAAGAAAAGCAGTTAAGGATTCCCCACACCGACGCGAAACTTTTGAGACACGAATTTTCCGTTGTGGAACATTCGCAAGCGGAGCGGTAGCGGACAAGGCTTCCCCACATTGGCGCGAAACCCGACGCGATTTTCGCCATACAAATGTGAACAAATTATATTTTTAGTCGTTTATTCGTAGCTTACAAATACATAATGACTTCGTCTGATGAAGAAGAAGCTTTTCTACTATTGGCACTTGCCGAAACTGAAGAAAAAAAAAAACAGGTAGCACCAGAAACAATAACTTTCGGTACGGGACACATTCAGTATTATTAGTATCAACACACATAGGGGAAACTATTGGTGTTAACTATGTATTGCTCCGAGAACCCCATCTAGTATTTGAACTGTAAGTGCAAAAGCCAGCTGCTTATTTTTCTTGTTGAAATTCCAATGAAACTTTTTTCTTATATTTTTATAATCTTCGTCCCTTAAATCATAAACTATAGGATTTTGTTTCACAATTTCAATTAGTTTTTCTGTAACAGCCATTTTAATTCACGCGAAACTATAACTGCAGCGGAAAAAACCGTGCATGCAGCGTTTCATGAAAACGAAGATAATCTGCCGCGGCCGTTGCGACTTGTCTGAACACCTGCATAAGTCGCCGTACCTTACGATTCGCCGCGATTCCGCTTAGGTTGCGGCTGCGAAAGTTTCGCGTCGGTTTGGGGAATCCTTTAAAGTACCAAGATACGTGAAGAAAGATTCCTCCCTAGAGAGTTACAACAAATCAGAGTGACTGACACAATGAAAGAAAAAGCTAGGACAAAGTTCGCGGAGATAGAGAACCACCCCAGTCACACACTGCGAGAGATAATGAGGTACGACACTTTTCACAGATGGAAGCACAAAAGACCCAAACAACAAATAGTAGAATAAAATGGTAATACTAGAGAGAAAATCAAAAATCACACCAGAGAGAAAACAAAACACCAGAGAGAAAACACTTCAAAAAAAACAACAACGCACAACGACGATAGTTCGTAGCTCATTACACTCGTGGACAATCGCAAAATACAACGTGGGCCCGGTTACCTTAATGAGGACAAACTTTATATTGTTATATTGTCTCATATTTTTATATATTTTTTAATGTTATAGTTTTTGTACTAATTTTGATTTTTGTTTCAGGGATACCTACAAAAAAAAATTAAAAAACGTACATAATATTAAAAACCGGCACAAGCCAACAAAAAAAAACTTAAAAAAACTCCAAAAACCCGGGCACGTAGAGCCCAACCTCTTGAGCACTAAGTCGCCTAACTGAGCCTAGCTCAGAGCGGAGACTTGAGGCCCAGGTAAGCAATTTTAGTTCGTGGAGAAGCCACATTAAGATAACAGGAATATAGCGATAATTCACTGTCCTAAGTTTTGAATTCGGTTAGGAAACCATGTTGGAGTTCTATTATCCAGGATCTCCACTTCTTCTTTGCATGCCATATCAGAATTATCCGACGTTAGCGATCACCATTGCGAAGGCTTCTCGATCTTCTGCAATATGGAATCATGGTCCTGCATTTGGTATCTGAGTCCAGTCACGAATGTTTTTTAACCAAGAAACTTGTTTTCTTCCTACATCTCTACGGTCCTCTCTTTTGCCTTTAAGGATCAGTTGTAAAATTTTATATCGACTTCCCCTTACTATATGTCAATTGTCCCCTGACTTCAATTTTGTTCATGATCGATACTTTTAGCGTCCACACTTCTGCACTATACAAAAGCACAGACCAAACATAGCACTCAACCATTCTTTGCATTAGTTCTAAACTGAGATGGTTATTGAAAAGAAATGACTTTATTTTCATAAAAGTAGTTTTAGTCATTGCTATTCTACGTTTTATTTCTATGTCTGGATCTAGTTGGTCCAGTATCACAGTTCCCAAAGGACCTCCACATAAGGAGCATTTGGCTGATAGTTGTGCCCCAATCGCGCATCAAAGTGCAATAGGGAGGAAAGGTGACTCCTATTTTTACTGGAGTTAATAAATCTCGCTCCAATGAATTCTTACACCAGAACGTAATTCTTAGGGGTAAACATTTTCACAGGCTGAGTTTACTTAAATTGCTTGCTTGCTTACTAGCAGTGAAATAATTAAAGATAATCATCAATAAAAGACTGGACGCGCGAGAGCGTCGTCAGCGTCTAGCTAAAGACTTGTAGCGACGCGCTAGCGCGTTATCAGCAAGAAACGTGTTAAGAAAAAAATCGGTAATAAAATTATTTAATTTTCGACTAAGTAAAAGTATCTTGGAGTATATGGAAATTGTGGAATATTTGTGTTCGTGGAATAAATATTTTATATTATGTCCTAAATTATATCTTTTATTACAAGATATTAAGAAAAACAAATGATTAAAATCGTTTATCAACTTCAAATTCTATAGAGGTGTTTCCAATCTTAATTTGACGAAAGAATTTATTTATTTTAAAATTACTTACTTTAATCTCTATAGTAACTTACGTGTCGAACTCCATCTGAGAATACTTCCGGCTTTATTCTTTCTGTTAGATGTCTCAAATTGTGGACTAAGGCGGTTTCGAACTCTGACATATAATACAGATTAAGTGCTCTTTGAGCAGACACAGTCGGATTATCAGGTGCTATATTAAACGCTCTGTACGTGTCAGCCAATGCACCTATATAATAACATGCTGCCGCTCTGGCCTTCGATCTACCCAGTAGGGACCTTATGCTATTTGGTGTTTGAGATACAGACTTATTAAAAAAGATTAAAGCTAAAATATAAAAGAAAAATCATTTATTATGTTTAAGAAGGTATGTTCAACCCATCGAGCAAAAAGACAAAAGAGGGAATCTAATAGTTATGAAAAGGAGACCAAAAAAGTGGCCTCTGATGGCGGATAACAGTAGCTATAAAATAGTTTTCAAAATGTGTCTTAGACGAGAAACTTTAAATAAATATTAACGATAACAGAGTCTAAAATGTGACATAATTGTTAAAAAATTTCAATATAAATAAGCTTTCATGTGACAGTTGGGACAAACAATAACATAACCCAACTAAATTTAATTTATTAAACAAGGAAAGACTCTTTTTCCTTGTTTAATTTGGCCTCTCAACATGACACTTCCTGTCTAACAATATTTTTGCCCCCACTGCCTTTACATTCCCTTTTTTGTCTTTTTGCTCGATGGTTCAACCGCAGTTAAAATGAGTGGCATTCAAATAAACTAACGTTTAACAATTCTTTGAGTAGATGGCAGCACGTGCATCGAGTACAGTTCTCTCTCAGTAACAGATCGCAACTTACGGCGAAGCTAAACTGACAGAACTAGAAATAAATGAAAATAAATCAAAATACATAAACGCAAGCAAGCACAAGAAGATACAAATGACATAACTGACAATAGATGCACACAGTTTCAAATAGGTTAAAACATTTAAATATTTGAGAGTACTAGTCAACAAAAGAAATGAAAGTGAAGCTATAAAAAGAAGTATTTAAGTGGAAAATGCAGCGTTTTATAGAAATAAAAAATGTTTAGAGATAACGGTATAAGCCGAAATACAAAAATGTAAATCTACAAAACGACCATAGGATTAATAGTAGTATATGCTGTAGGAACATTTACATTATTAGCAAGAGAAAAAGAAGAATTCAAAGTTTTTGAGAGAGGAAGATTATCAGAAACATATTGGGACCAAAAAAGGAAAACAAAGAGGATGCAAGACAATGGATGAATCACGAATTACAAGAATGGATGAGTAAAGAAAACATAGTAAGAGCAATAAAAGCACAAAGAATTAGATGGTAGACAACCTTATTGATTAAGAATCGGAAATACATGAGACTTTCGCAATTAAACAACACTGTATTGGAATATTTTTCGACATTAGTAAAGCCTTGTAAAGTACGGATGATAGAGTCCTGACTACAATAGAAGAACTAAGCGTTGAATGGGAAACATACATACAAAACCTATTCTCAGACGATAGAACAATAAATATTGATAGACAAACAAACATCGAAAATAACGACTTGCCCATCTTAATATGCCTTAAAAATTAGGAAAACCGGAAAAGCCTCTGGATCTGACTAAGTTCATAGTAAAATTATTCAACTTTTGGAAGAAGACAATTTAGAACTAGTATCAAGAGTCTTCAACAGTATATACAAGACTGGTACAATTTCACAAGATTGGTTAACGTCTACGTTTGTGCCTATACCTAAATCAAACTACGCAAAAAAATGTGCAAAAAAATGCAAAAACTTTCGATTAATAAGTCTCATGCCCCATATTCTGAAGCTATTTCTTAAAAATTATTCATAAAATAATTTACAAAAAATCAGCTAATAGAATGATTGCAAAAAAAGAACCTGGATCCAAACTACATTAATACAATACGTGAACTCTACTGGAACCAAAACGCCTCTGTCAGAACTGAAATGGGTGATACTGAAACCATAAACATCAAAAGAGGAGTTAGACAAGGTTGTATACTATCACCATTATTATTCAACTTGTAGTCAGAGGACACCTTTGCACATGCTCTAGATGAAGCACAAGTAGGAATAAAAGTCAATGGAAAAATCGTGAACAATATCAGGTATGCCAATCAGTACTGATTGTTGGAAGTTGTCTCTACGATACCGCATTATAAAGTGTTATGTATATAGTGTACTATTATACGGCGTGGAAGCTTGGACGTTAACAGTCAGCTCGTTATGACGTTTAGAGAGCTTTGAGATGTGGGTATTTCGTCGTATGCTGAAAATTCCATGGACCGACCGCGTTAGAAATGAAGAAGTTTTAAGGGGTATGAATAGAGAACGTGAACTCACAGAAATTATCAAGAAGCGTAAAAAGTCTTATCTTGGACACATATTTAGACACGATAGGTAAAACTTCCTTTAGCTAATTATAGAAGGGAAAATAGAAGGCAGACACGGTCCTGGTTGACGACAAATGACCTGGCTGCGCAACATCAAAGATTGGACAGGATTGGACTTTTAAAGTTTAATAAGGAAAGCCCAAAATAAATAAGACTTTGCAGATATCATCGCCAACCTTCGCTAAAAAGACGGCACTCAAAGAAGAAGAAATAAAGCCTGCGCTTCAGTCTGGAAATATTCAATTTTAAGGAAAATAAGAGGTAAGCAATACTCAATTTGGGTTTAGGAGTGGCTTGGGTACAAGAGAAGCCTTGTTTAGTATACAGGTGCTAGTACAGAGATGCAGAGCTATAAATCAAAATGTATATATTTGTGCAATCGATTTTAAAAAAGCTTTTGACAAAGTCCGACATAACAAAATGCTAGAAATATTGGAAACAGCTGGATTGGACGATAAAGATCTACAAATAATTACAAATCTATACTGGCATCAAGTGGCAAGAATAAAGGTTGAACAAGAACTGTCGGATGAAATAAATATAAAAAGAGGAGTGAGACAAGGCTATATATTGTCGCCTTTACTTTTTAACTTATATTCGGAGGAAACATTTAAGGAAGCCTTAATGGAGACAACCGAAGGTATTATTGTGAATGGAGTAACCGTCAACAATATTAGATATGCCGACGATACCTTAGTGCTTGCCAATTGCGGAGAAGACCTTCAAAATCTAATGAACAAAATAAAACAGACTTGTGATCAGTATGGATTAAAACTCAACGTTAAGAAAACTAAATTTATGATAGTTAGCAAATAAAATTATATACATGATGACGGTATAAAAGTCGGAGATGCCACACTGGACACAGTAGAAAAACTCGTGTATCTCGGCAGTAATATCAATGAGAGCTGGGATCCAACCGCAGAAATTAAAAGCCGAATAGAACAAGCCCGAGCTACCTTTATAAAAATGAGAAACGTACTTTGCAGTCACGATCTTAGCGTTGACCTTAGAGTTCGTATGATATTTTGCTACATCTTTCCTGTCCTGCTGTATGGAGTAGAAGCGTGGACCCTAACTGAGGCTATGCTTAAACGCTTGACAGCCTTTGAGATGTAGGTATACAGACGACTACTGAAAATAAGCTGGGTCGACAGAGTTAGAAATGAGGAGGTCCTTAGACGGCTGAACCAAACAACACAACTGGTCAATATAATAAAGAAACGCAAGCTGGAATACTTCAGTCATATTATGAGACACCCTGAAAAATATGATCTTCTACATCTGATCATTCAGGGAAAGATCCAAGGTAATCGTGGTCCTGGTAGAATAAGAACATCATGGCTGAAAAATCTAAGGCAATGGTATGGAAAATCAACTACATCGTTATTTAGAGCTGCTGTCAATAAAGTCACGATAGCGAATATGGTAGCCAACATGATATCCAACGATCGATAACGGTCATGGAACTAGAAAAAGAAGAAGAGGTAATATACTCAAATATATATCAAACTTAAAAAATAGACAATTTCAAGTCATAGTAGACGGAGTATATTCCTCAATAAAAAATCAAGAATATGGTATACCACAGGGCTCGAACCTTAGCACTACTCTGTTTCTTGTAGCTGTGAATTCTATTACTGCAAAAATTAAACATCCTGTAAAAGCTAGGCTATATGCGGATGATTAAGCAAAGATTATACTTTGTAGATTAAAGAACAACTAACAACCATCTATAACCGTGTCCAAAAAGCCATAAATCATATTGAAGAATGGTCATTCACAAGTGGCCTTCAGTTCAATACTCTCAAAACCAAAGTAGTTTGGTTGTCAAAACCAAAGTAGTAGTTATGTTTTACGAAAAGTAAACAAATACAGCCCAAGAACTTTTATTTAAATTGATGACTGCTTAAATATGTAGACGAATTTAGATTACTTGGTATGATCGTTGACCAAAAACTAACTTGGAAGATACATTTAGAATATTTTAAAAGGATATGACAGCCTGAAATAAATTTGTTACGATCACTCGCAAACAAAAAAAGGGACGACACCCACTCTTCTACACTACTACATATCTACAAGGCCCTAGTACACTCCAAACTGGACTACGGCTCAATTGTTTACAACTCCTCCAAAAAACGTACTTAAAAACAATAGATGTTATTCAAAATACAGGTCTTTGAATTTCCTTAGGAGCACACCACATAAGTCCAATACAAACCCTATACTGGGAAACTGAAGAGATTCCAGTCGCATTTAGAAGACAATATCTAAGTCTTTCTTATGCCGCGGCAGTATCGTCTAATCAAGATAATTAAGTTTTACACAACGTATTCGCTGACATAATACGTCAGACAGACACGTGCAAACTTTAAATCGAACTGATTACCCTTTTTATTACCGCCAACATACCTGCTTGTTAACAATAGGTATCCATTTTCCAGTCACCTACGATATCTCCTCAATTCAAACCCCTCCTCCTTGGACAATTCGACTTCCCTCTACTGACACCAGCTTATTGCGCCTAAACAAATTAGAAACGCCAGCAAGTCAAATTAATCAAGAATGTCTTAAAATATTAAGCAAATATGGTAGCTGTTTCAAAGTTTACACCGATGCCTCCAAAAACAAAGACGAAACTGGGGTACCAATTTACTCATCAGATTATACAGTAGCTTACAAATTACCTTTATATACAACAACGTTCTCTGCTGAAATGTTTACGATACAAAAAGCACTAGTTCTGATAGTTTACAAAAATAAAATGAGAAATATCATTATTACAGATTCTTTAGCTCAATAATGGCATTAAACCAACTCTACCGTAATAATCCACTACTCCTTCTGATTAAAAAGGAACTAAAACATGCACAAAATATGAACATTAAAGTTAATTTTATATGGATACCGTCACATATTGGAATCGAAGGAAACGAGGTTGTAGACAAAATAGTAAAAAAAATGCACCTACTAACACAAACATAGAGAATACGAAATCTCTTCACACCGACCTGAAAGCATTCTTTAAAGAAAAGATTAATTCAATATGGCAGGATATATGGAAGAACTCCCCAACCAAGCTGTACAAAGTTGATATTAATCATCAAAAATTCCCAAAAGTTAACAATAAAAGAGAACAGGTTACCTTCACTCGCCTCAGGATTGGCCATACTCAGTTAACACACGACTACCTACTAAAACGGGCAAATAAACCTATGTGTGACATGTGTAAAAGTGTCTTAATGGTAAAACATTGTTTATTGCAGTGCCCCAAGTATGATGTGCAACGAAAAATATATAACATACCATCAACATTAAATAGTACTCCTAATATAGACAGTGATACTAAAAATATTTTCGTCTTTCTCAAAGACTGAAAGCTGTTATGAAAAATCTAATATTTTACTTTGTATAGATTTAGGTAGGTAATTACAAAAGCCCAACAGCTCCAAGAAAACATAACAATACATGGAGAACAAATTAAAAAAGTTGAAAAATATAAATATCTGGGTACAATAATTAATGAAAATAATGATTACACAGAAGAGATTAAGACAAGAATAGGACAGGCAAGAAATTCTTTCAACAAACTGAAAAAAGTACTATGCAGCAGGGACATTTCAATTTCTTTAAAGATAAGACTTTTGAGATGCTACGTGTTCTCCGTATTATTTTATGGATTGGAGGCTTGGACTTTAAAGAAAGATGTTTCGGACATATTGGAAGCTTTTGAGTTATGGGCCTACAGAAGGATATTAAAAATAAGTTGGGTAGATAGAGTCACGAAAGTCGAGGGATTGAGAAGAATGGGAAAAGATAAAGAGGTCTTAAATACAGTTAAAGTCAGAAAACTGCAATATCTGGGACATGTTATGAGGGGAGAGCGTTATAATTTGTTGCAATTAATAATGCAAGGAAGAATACAGGGTAGAAAGAGTCGCGGAAAAAGACGCATCTCCTGGTTGAATAATTTGAGAGATTGGTTTAACCGCACTTTTGCTGACCTCTTTAGTGCAGCGGCGTCGAAGGTGCGAATTGCCATGATGGCACCAACCATGATGCAGGTTACCAACCTTCTTAGAGGAGATGGCACGTGAAGAAGAAGATAGATTTAGGTTTATTTCGATTGATGTACTGCTATGGTTAATATTTTATTGTTAATTTCTAACTCTGTATCATAATCCATACAGCGTGTATAACTAACCCTGTTTGGTTGATGCTTCATGAAGAGAAAAAAAAAAAAAGAAGTTCGACGATTGCTGGTTGAAGTGTATCGAGCTGAAACGAGCCAATGTTGAGAAATAAATTTTCAGTTTACTAAAATTTTGTAGTCTAAGTACTTATCGGACTTTTCCAATACATGGGTGTAGATACGGTACCGATCAATGTACACTACTCCAAGAAATTAACGCACCATTTACAAAAACAAAAAAAGCGATTCATTGCTGTTTTAAATTTGATTGTATTCATTTTTGTATGGAATATACCATGTATTTGGAATGTTTTTATCAGGTTACTTGTATTGTTTTTTTGTTCCAACCGGTTTCTAAGGAACACAAAACAAAGGTGCTATAAATTTGTTAATGTCAGTAAGAGTTTAGTGTCATTTTTCAGCCGTTGTGTGAACTATTGCTGTTTGGTGGTAACATTTTGCTATTGTTTTAATTAAAATGCAACGCAAATCGAGAAATTTGACTAATGAACAGTATGCTTAAATAGTGGTTTTGCATGAAGAAGGTTGAAGTTACAGACATTTAGGAGAACAATTTGGCGTACACCATACAACGATCTCACGAATGATGGAACGGTAAAGAGAGACCGGTAATCACTCTAGGCGTCCAGGACAAGGTCAACATCGTGTAACAACGTCCGTTCAAGACCGTTTTTACGACTTCGCACCCTAAGACAACGATTTGTAACTACTAGAAGCTTACAATCCCAACTTGAAGATGTTCATAATGTTCGAATCAGCTGTGAAACTGTTCGCCAACGTCTCAAGGAAGGTAATTTGGTAAATCGTATACCTGCCAGAGGGCCAGCCTTGACCATAGCTCATCGCAACATGATTGGAACAGAGTTCTGTTTACAGATGAGAGCAGATTCTGTCTTTGCAATTGTGATAGGCATATTCGCGTGTACCGACGTCAGAACGAACGGTATGCACAGTGTAACATGCGAGGAATGACGTTATTCGGTGGAGGGTCGGTTATGGTCTGGGGTGGCGTTTCTTTAACGGGTCGTACAGACTTGGTAGTGTTAAATAACGGTACCATCAATACTCACCGATATGTTGTTGACGTTCTTCAAGACCACGTTATGCCATTTGCCCCTTATATTGGCGAATATTTGGTTCTAATGCACGATAATGCACGACCCCACGTTGCAAATATAGTGCAAAATTATCTAGAGGAAGTTGTAATCGACGTTATGGAATGGCCAGCGAATAGTGCCGATCTCAATCCTATAGAGAATGTTTGGGACTTGCTTAGTAGACGTCTACGGAATTTTTCTAATCAACCAAACACTCTGCAGGAACTGGAACAATGTCTTATCCAAATTTGGTTTTCTATCCATTATTTGGTTTTCTATCCATCTAACCAAAAAAAAATTGGTTTTCTATCCATTACTCTTTTAGTTTTTATGTTAATGAATTATTAAAAATACGTTTGTGTTCCAGCATTTTTTCCTATAATAGTGTCTTCACCTTTTGTTCAAAACTGAACCTTCTAAACTGGTTAATTCGGGTATAAATAAAGTAAATTGTAAATGAGCTAAGATGTAAATAAGTGGTTTCCCATGCTTTTTCTCCGTTTAGAATATGGTTTTTTGGCGTATAATATATGAACTGTCACCTAAGAATAACTCCAAAAATTTAATCAAATAAAATAATTCTGAGCAGAAAATCATCATATCTTTGGGCTATTTAGTTAGAAAAAATTTTCAGATCGGCTGGATCCGAAACGGCTACCTCTGCTTTTTTGCATTCAGTGGATTAACGCTCTATCCTACGCCTTAATAAAGCTTGTACACATCAAGGGAAGTTATGGTAATTTTAATAACATATATAAATATATTACTACAAAAATACGTACCATTTTCAAATTGATCTAATCTGGCAATAAAGTAAGCGATTTCTCTAAAGAGAAATTCATTATCAAATAACTCATCTTTCTTAAAAGGATTATTTGGATCCACCACACGCTCAGCAATAATCAACGGGTCTGCTACTAAAGCACCTTGTTCCAATTTTTTTTCCCTAGTTTCTAATGTTGATAAGTAATGCAACATGGTATTTCACATATCAAAAAAAAATTAAAAAAATAAAACTTCCCTTGCTCCCATAAAGTACAAAACTAAATCTTTTACACTGACATTGAAGTTAACTTCAAAATGTCATTTTAGTTTACGTTTTTATTCTATATTGAAGTTTGTAGTATTAGTCAAAATAAAAAAAGACAAAAGATTTTATATAATTTTGGTATCATATACTCGCGTTTTCAAACGACTATAGTCGGCAGCACTTGTTTTGAAAGATGGCGGACGAAATAATGATATGTAGGTCCACTAAAAGTTAACATCTGCAGTCTTTACATCGCTCCTAATTCTGATCCAAGTATAGCAGACATTTCTAATCTTTTATGTCAGATTCCTACACTTCGAATTTTACTGGGAGATTGTAATGCACATAATTCATTATGGGGCTCAAAAAAATTGACAAAATGGAAAGAAAAATAGAAACTATCCTAAATAATCTTAATTTAAATCTACTAAATGACGGCAGGAATAATCGATATAATGCAGCAGCAGAAGAGTTTTCAGCAATTGATTTGTCAATTTGTGAAACAAACTTACAACCTAGTTTATCGTGGGACGCTTTACCTGATCTATACGGAAGTGATCACTTTCCCATCTTAGTTAACAATCTGTTGTACCATAAGCACACATCACACAGTACCAAATGATCCCTTAATAAATCCAACTGGACACTGTTCGCAACGTTGATTTCTTTATCAGGTATGAATCTTGGAGAAATGTTAGAGGACTCTCAGAACAAGATATTACCGAGAAAACATTCTTTTTTAATAAAGTCATCATTGATGCATCGAATAAATCCATTGAAAAACAGCTGTTCACCCAAATATTCACTTATACCGTGGTGGAACGATACGTACTAACAGGCAATAAGCGAATCTAAATCGAATTTTAATAGATATAAAGGATATCAAACTACTGAAAATTATTTAAAATTTAAAAGAATAAGAGCTTAATGTAGATTTATTATTAAAAAAAGCAAACAAGAGTCATGGCAAAAGTTTGTTTCAGAAATCAATAGATCTACTTAAATTGGTCAAATCTGGAGCATGATAGATATACTATAAGTATATCTGAAAAAACATTCACAACACTATATTAAGTACTCAATAAAAGACAATCAGACATTTACGTCCGAATGCAATGTATCTGAAATAATGGCAAATCAATATTTTATCGCTTCTAGTGATGAAAGCTATTCACTAGATTTCTTAAATAAGAAACGATTTAAAAAAAAAAGGAATAACATTAATCAATGACACTTAACTAATAAGCAATCCCATAAGCTTGAATGAACTTATTGAAACTCTTAACTCAGTTAGAAATACTAGTCCAGGACTAGATAGTAAACCTTGCTCACGAATGCAATGTTTAAGTTGGTAGAAAAGATCATTGCCAAGAATGTTTATCCATACTCATTAATGTAAAAAAGGCTTTTGGTACAGTATGCCGCTATGATATTTTAATTACACTCGTTGACGCTAACATGTTTGTTTTTATCTCAAACTTTCTACGGTAACGATATTTCCAAGTTCATATCAATAACCATTTGTCTGAATCTAAATTTTAGAAAAATGGAATTCCACAGGGCTCAAATCGAAACATTGCGCTATATTTAATTGCTATTAACAATGTTGTGCCGCACTGCAATGGTACAATTAAAACTTATTAGTATGCTGATGATCTGGTAATTCTAACAAGAAATAAAAACATATCTGCTGATAATCGTATTGCTACAGGCCTTAAGTCGATATAATCGTAGTCTAACAATATTGGGCTCCAGTTTTCCACAAAAAAAAACAAAAACTTCACATATTTCACTAAAATTAAATCCATAAAAGCTCCCAAATACATTTTTATACAATTTTCCTATGGACTAAACAAAAGAAATAAAATTTCTAAGGATGCAACTGGACTCAAAATTAAGTTAGACAAGTCATATACACTCGGTAAGACTATCGTGTCAAGCTGGACCAAACATTATGAAATGTGTAACACATAAAAATTGGGATGCAAATTATCTAACTATAAATAAATTTATATAGAGCTTTAAATATATCAAAACTGGACTAATGATGTGTTGTGTATAACACCGCAAACTAAGCACTGCTCAAAACTTTGGATACTCTTCAGAGTTCAGCCGTTGGACTTGCTCTAGGAGCATATTGCACCAGTTCTGTTGACAGTCTACTCTGAAGCTTGAGAGCTACTCTTAAACCTAGGAAGCAAATTCTTAACTCCATCGTATATCTCGAGTATGAAATCTAACCCAGAAAATCCAGCTATTCATCATGCTGTTGCTAACAGGTTCCGGGAGGTCTATCAAAAAAGAAATAGGGGTCTTCTCTCTTTTATAAACGAGCTAATAGATACTTATTAGATTTTAATATTGAATGTTAATTGTTTTTCTTGGGTTATTTACTCTCTGCTTTCTAACCTTAAACTTACAGCATATAACAAAAATATCCTGATACCCAATTTTTTTAAAACTCACTTTCTCCATGTTCTCACACAGTTCAAAAATTACCATTTAATATACACGGACGCATCTAAGACCATAAATTGAGTAGGAGCATGCTTTGTAATTTCCCATGAACATTTCATTAATAAATTGCTAAGACAAGTATTTTTACAGCAGAACTAGTTGCCATCAATAAGGCCCCAACCTTTATTATAGAAAAAAACTTCCCAAATCTCTTATAATATCTGATTCACTTAGTTGTCTGACATAAATTTCTCAGCTTTATCCCTCTTATCCAACATTACAGCAGATTAAATTAATTTTATACTATATATACCAAAACAAATTTGACAGTAGAGTTCCTCTGGGTACCGTCACACGTTATAAAGATGGTAACGAAAAGGCAGATAGTCTAGCTAGGTCCGCAGTAACCAATACAGCCGCATCAGTGGAAAATCTAAGTGAAAGCGCCCACCAAACTGGCGTGGCACGTGGAAAGTAGTAACTAGCACGCGTATACCATGTTACTTAAAATGTAACCAATGAAAAAGAATGACTCAGCGCACACCAAAATGACAGTGACGTCACTCATTTAAATCATTCGTTTGCATTGGTTACATTTTAAGTAACATGCTAGACGCGTGCTGCTTGTTACTTGCGACTTGCCATGCCAGTTTGGTGGGCGCCCTCACTTATGGTGCATTTAGATTTAAAACCTTACCTAAAATTAAAATTGCACGATATTTGGCAAAACCAATCAAATAGAATTACCACTAAATTGATAGAAATAAAATATTCCGACCTTCCATGAAACTTCTGGCCTTCAAAACGACAACATCAAGTCATAATAACACGTCTCAGATTAGGACACACCTCTACAACACATCAATACTTATTGAAGAGAGAAGAGGAACCAGTGTGTTTTGTTTGTGAATGTAAAGTGACAGCAAAGCACATTTTGATTGACTGTCCAATATACTTAGTTGAAAGACTATATCACCACATTCCAAAAACATTAAAATAACTTCTAGGAAAATCTAAATACGTATAGTTCAGTTAAATTGTATTTTTGCTAGTAAAGTTTTGGGGTAGTTCTGATTTTTTTCATTCCATATGTTTTTTGGGTGCTTAATCCGAATCTGCGGTTTGCGGACAAAATTTCGTGACGCAACATTAAAAAGAAAAACAGAATAAACCGTTTTTTTCTGCTTTTTTCGGGTTTTTTACTTAAAACTCGAAAACTATTAACTTTTGATAAATGTTCTGTTTACAGAAATTAAAGTACTTGACATTTTCTACAAATACCAGTATTCTTTTTTTTTCAGACGAATCGTTCGGTTTCTAGTGCGAGTTAAAAATTGTAAATTTTTAGCATTTTATGCAAAACCCACTTTTTACATTTCAATATTTAATTTTTATGGATGCTGTCATTTGATAAATGTCACCTAGTTTTCCACACAAGTAATTAAAAAGAAAAAAGGTCAAAATTATGCAAATTCAGTAGGTAGGTAAAACTCGTAACAAAATAAAACTTAAAATCTCGTTACTAACGATCATATATTATTATGATTATAATATGCAAAATTTATATGAGCCGTTGTCTTTTGGACGGCCCTGGCTGAGGTTCTTCGATAACGATGAGTCCTGGTTTTGCGTGTTCTGGAAAATAAAAGTTTAAAGTTAAGTCATTTATCAAGAAGAGATCAAGATTGCAAAATAGATTGTGAGATTAAACATACCTTCCGCATCGTAGTAAGGTTCTTCGATGGCATCAGGTCCTGGCTCAGGGTCTGATTGCTCCATCGTCCGCGTCGGGAGTCGTTCTCCTGGAAAATAAAAAGAGGAGAGACACATATCATATATCAAGGAGAGATGAATGACTACAAAATAACTTGTCAGATCCAACATACCTCTCCCTTTTTCTTCAGTTTCTTCTACGTCTATCTATCTGTCTACGAGCTGTCTTCTGGGGGCTCAACATTATTACACAGTCCTTCGCATTTACATGAAATGTACCGGAGTACTGAGTTTATTGCAGGGTCCAAAGTAGTTGGTACTGGCACATGACCACTACTAGTTTTTTGCCATCCCCAGTCACTTGGGTCTTTTTGTTGCTCGTTAGGTGTGGCTTGAGCGGATAACCACTACTGCACCTGATAGTAAGTAGTAGTAGTAGGTAGTCGTATAGTGTGTATGTGTTTGCGGTGCCGAATGCCGATCGAGTGCCATCCAGTTTATAGTGCGCTACGCGTACACACATACTACAACGTCTACAACAGTTTAGCACATTGCTGCCGTTTGGAATGTAAAGAGGCTTTAACTGCTTTTTAACTGAGTTATTTTGATTTTTTGCAATATAATATTTGAGTCAAAACGTGAATTATCCGTGTGATTCGGTCTTTATTTTAATTAACTTAAATACTAGAGGAAATTAACTAAAAACCTTTCAATACAAATCTAAAAAGTGGGTTTTACAGTAACACCGGTACAAATTGCCAATTTCTAACTTGCACTTGAGACCGAACGGTTC